GCCCAGCCGACGCCAGGGCGTACATCCGACCCCTTGGCAAGCAGCAAAGTGCTGTGCCTGCCACGAGATCTGCGCACGGAGGTTCACAAAGTACTGCGCCTGCCACGAAATCTGCACATGAAGGTTCACAATTTCAAAGTGCTGCGCCTGCCACGAAATCTGCACATCCAGCGCCGGTGCCCAGCCGACGCCAGGGCGTACATCCGACCCCTTGGCAAGCAGCAAAGTGCTGTGCCTGCCACGAGATCTGCACACGGAGGTTCACAAAGTACTGCGCCTGCCACGAAATCTGCACATGAAGGTTCACAAAGTGCTGCGCCTGCCACGAAATCTGCACATCCAGCGCCGGTGCCCAGCCGACGCCAGGGCGTACATCCGACCCCTTGGCAAGCAGCAAGGTGCTGTGCCTGCCACGAGATGTGCTGCGCCTGTGAGTGATGTTGTGTGTGTGCTGTTGTGTGTGAGAATGTGTGAGATGTTGTTGTGAGAGATGTTGTGTGTGTGTGCTGTGGTGTGTGAGACGTTGTGTGTGGGATGTTCTCTGAGTGATGTTTTGTCATCCGACCCCTTGGCATCCGATGTTGTGTGAGTGATGTTGTGTGTTGTGTGTGAGATGTTGTTGTGAGAGATGTTGTGTGAGTGATGTTGTATGCAAGACGTTGTGTGTGGGATGTTGTCTGAGTGATGTTGTTGTGAGAGATGTTGTTGTGAGAGATGTTGTGTGAGAGAGGTTGTAGTTAGAGAGGAGGAAGGAGGAAGGAGGAAGGAGGACGGAGGAGGACGGAGGAGGACGAGCGAGGAGGTGCAGCAAAAAAAACAAGAACCCCACACAACAATGTGGGGAATAAGAACCCCATAGCTGTCACTATCTGGCGAACACTCCACCAGGCACACAGCCAGCACCCAGCACCGGCACCGGCAGCCTGTCTCCACCACGTGCGCAGCCAGCACCCGGCACCGGCACCGTGTCTCCACTCACACTGTCTCCACCACGTGCACAGCCAGCTCACAGCACCAGCACCAGCACCGGCACCCAGCACCAGCAACCTGTCTCGAAAGCGCGCACGGGCAACTCATTGTTATTTGAAGTAAGAACCCCATAGCTTCGCTATCTGGGGAAAAAGTTTGGTCAGCCTCGGCTAAATTGTTATGCTCCCAACCGTCGTCTGTTTCTGATTAATAAAATCTAGGGGTGGCACGTGATAAACAGTTCAATCTGTGAGGGCTGCAGTTGACACATCGAGCGTGGTCAAATGCCATCCATTCTGCACAACGTATGATAAAAGCGACCGAACGCATTCTCCGTTTGGTGTAGCTGATGAGAATCCAAGGTTTGCCGCTAAGCCTTTGCCGGCGGCAAGCTGTTGCACAACTAAACGGCACCTGACGCATGGCTAATTATCTACCTCCTTTGGATTAATTACCCATCTCGTGGCGATTGGACTAATCATTCATGCTTCTTACCGCACTCGTATGCCTCCATGCGATCCACAGCCCTGCCAAACTGCACGGTGCTCATAGATTTCAATTCGACTCACCGGCCAGTCTTTGTCTTCTCGATGTCAAGTGATTCAGAAATCTGACTTTCATGAAAAACCTGGCAAACCCGGTCGCCAGTGATGCATTCATCCCATTGTGGGAACACCATCAAAGCCTTTCTGAATCCCATCACCCTCCCACCGGGCACGCCGGGCACGGACGAACGACGAACGAAGATCCATGCCCATGCTGACGAGTGGCGCTGACAGCTCGTTCGAGGATCTCCTGATGCGGGCTGGAAGATCTATGAAAGATCCATGGCAAAAGATTGCAAATTCACTCAGGAAAACCCATGGTAAGATATGGTAAACCATTGCTGATGGCTGATCTTATTGTGTGTGTGTGGGTGGGGGGGTCACACACAATTGATAACAATTGCATGTCTTGAATTTGCTTAAGGAGCCGGGACAAAAAGAACATACTTCCCATGCCAGGGATTCACCCGGTTCGGGAGAGAAATACAAATCGCCTGAGACGCAAAACCAGGATATTCAAAAGAGAGACTGCAAGCTCTCTGAAGGGGTCACCAGGACCTTCCTGTCGGGGTGTCCTGTCTGGTGACCGAATCAGTAGGGTTGTCCAGCCAGGTCACCCCGAACGGAAGCAGCGCGCTGTCTGTATTCAATATGTATTCATCTGAGTTCGATCTCCGTTTCTTCTTGCTCCAGCCCCCGCCTTTTTTGCCCGCGTGCCACTGGGCGGCTGCCAGTGGGCCCGGTCAGATCCGGACTCGTCCGACGGGTCTCATGTTCGCACCGGTGCCCCACCGGGGGACCGAAGGTCTAAGACGTCGACCAAATGTCTGGCCCCATATGCCTAGAAGTCCAAAGACTATTCCCATGGGAAAACCTACACCCTAGAAGTCCAGTTCGACTATTGTTTGACCGGCTCAAGGCTCAAGGAAGTTCCCGAACTCAGGCCCCCGTTCGTCAGACCATTCTTTTTAGAGTCGACTTGACTCCCAGGGCATTTGCGGCACGGAGTGGTGGGTTTTTGGGAGACGGAGACGGAGGGTTTGGGGAGACTGTTGGAGGGATTCGCTGATTGACTGGAGTGCTTCATAATACATTGTTGCTCTTCCTTCCTTCTGTCCGTCCGTCCTTCCGTCCGTCCGTCCTTCCTTCCTTCCTTTCCCTGTACCAAAGCCTCAAACCACGGGAACATCGCCAGTCTGGAACACACTTCTCAGGGGCCATCTGAATGATTTCTCAGATTTGATGGCCGCCCTACCCCCCCCTTCATAGCGCAAGTCATCGAACATTGTGGATCGCTCAAGCGACCTCAAGAGCTCTGAGGTGGAGTTCCTTTGCTTCACCTGTATCTGCGATGTTTCGAGGGATCCAAACGGCAGGCGTCCGTTTCGATAACCCTGGTCTTGGGGATCCAACGAAGCCGTTCTTTTTCCAATCCAAACATGGGTCAAATGGGTTCTAGATACCTTGGAGTCCAGGAATACGATTTACAACACGGCGTCTTTGATGGGTCTTTGTGGACGATCCGACTTTTTGGACTTGAGATGGATATCTTCATCGGGCAACCCAACACGATTCGTGCGCGTACGTCATTCCCGTCATCAGTCTGAGCGACGAAGGAGCGCCGATTCTTTGAGGTGATCTAGCTTTAGGCAAACTAAAATGCATGGAGCATAAACCACATTAATCCACACATCATCATCAAAAGCTCACGACTCCCCTGCATTCTCACGACTCCCCTGCATTCTCCAACTCCACCAAACCACTTAGCCATACTTAGCCACTTCGCCAACCCTCTGAAGCAGCCGTTTCACGCGCCGGCGTTTCACGCGCCTCGCCGGCCATAGCCAGGCGCTTGAAGATCCCAGGCGCCTCCCGTTGCGCGGCCTCGGCGCGTTTCGTCACACGGCGCCGCGAAGCGGCTCGGCGCGTGGGCCACCGTTTCGGCGGTTTTCTGCAAGGAGTTCAGATTCTTTGGGTGAGGGGGTGGTGCACTAAGTGTCAAGGTCAGTGTTTCTTTTGTTTTCATGCGTTTGTTATCTCTTAGGTCACCCCAACACCTATGCCGCGCAGTGCACCTCGTACATTTGGGGGGCGCAACTGCACAAGATCAGTCACTGGCGCCAGGCTGCCAGGGTGTGGTTTTTGGCCAAGCTCTCCCAAAGCTTCGCACTTTCCAACAGAGGTTGAAGAACCGTATAGGCTATCCTATGGGTCCCCCAGTAGGGTCTTTTAAGGTCCTTCAACCTCTGCTGGTTCTACTTCGGTTTCCAAAACAGCTTTGTGGCAGGTTTGTTGCACGGCAGCCCGGAGGTGGGTCGCGGGCTGGTTGTGGGTTTGGGTCACCGAAGGGTCCAGCCGAAACCAGAGCGAGGGGACGTCAATTCTTTTGTTCGATCTGAAGAGAGACCCCATGTTTGGAGTCCAGGAAATGGTCAATATTTCCAGCTAACAAATGGTTTCACTAGTGTTACTGTGTTACCAGTTAACAGTAAATTGGTCACTGTCTTTGGAGTCCAGTTAACAAATGGTTTCACTAGATGATACTAGATGATATTTTGTTTTTGAATGTTTTTGGACTTCTAGGGTCCAGTCTGGATAGAGCTGGAGATGCACATACTTCAAATTCCCTCTGCCAGCACCCTCCCTGCCAGGTCTCCTAGTTTGAGGGTTGGGAAGGGCCCTAAGAATCCGGTTGGAGCTGCTATACATGACAAATTGATGATCAAAATGGTCTTTCATCCATATCAGTCAATTCTTCGATCCGTCCTTTCCGCCGGTCAAAGCGAGAACCGGGTCTAGAGGGTCGACTGTCGTCTGTCGTTCACCAATGGGTCGCTGCTTCGGACGGACGTCTGCACGTCTTATCCCCCGTCGTTCACCCACAGAGGTGCGCAGGGTCGTCCAATACAATGCATGTATGAATACACCCCAGGTCTGTCAAGTCGATTTATAAAATGGTTGATCATGGCTTTGTAGTATAAAACCCTTCGTAAAACAATGGTGCTTCGACTTCTAGGGTACATGTATACATGACATACAATGCATGTCCCAGACATCCCAAACATCCAATGACATCCATGAACATCCGAATTACAGTGACCATCGTCCTCCAGCTTCAGACACCCCACCACCAGCGGCTTCAGCCCACGCCGTCCGGATGCGCCGCCCAGGCCGTCGCGATGCGTAGGGATAGCCAAGCCCAGGGACCACCAGGGGTGCCAAGCCCAGGAGGAGCCCTGCAGCGATGCGGCGATCGGCGCTTCTCAGCCGCGCTGCGCCCGGCGAGGTGTGTCGACGATGGCCGTGGGTTTTCGCAGTGGTTTCGGCAGTGGTCCATAGTCCATATTCTTCACATGTCTTTCAACGTCTTCAAGGCATCTTCTATAGACAACTTCTACTGAATTTGAGGAACGTTGAATTTGAGCTTTGCACTGCAACCATCTGCAAGCTGCATTCATGGGGAAGTGTTCACCAGGTCCAAGCACTGTAATTGAGATTGCATCCCTAGCGAACCCTGCAGCTGTGAATAGGCGCTTTCTCCTAGGCTTTCCTCTCAAGTTGAGTCTACTTGAGTCTACCCACAAAAATTCCATCCATCCGTCTGCCTGCCCATCTCCGCCCCACCCACCCACCCAGCCTAACTGCATTCTGATTCGCCCCATGGCGCGCCCACCTGCACTGACTGCGAATTCGACCGAGCACGTTTTGGATGGCACAACAAGCGCACCATCGCGCGCAGGGGCGGTCGCGTGCACGGCTGGCCTGGGCGGCCACCGTGGCAACCTCCCAGGGAGGCTGTTGCCGCCGTTCAGCCAAAGTGGCGAGGATCGCGACGTGATCGCAGCAAGGATGAACACGAGACTCGGATCATCCCGAAGCCTTTTTTGCATGGCGTCTTCCTCAGGTCATCGGAAACAGGTACCCTGGGGCTCCAGTCGTACCTCCTCAGAAGGTATGACTGGACCCTTTAAACCCACCCCAGTCCCACCTTCGAAACCAAGGTACTACTGAGGAGCCCGTTTGGGGTATGAATTACAAGTCCTCCTCCCAGGGGTTCAAAACCGAGCTCTGCACCCGGTGCGAACACCGCCACCGGATCTTGGGCTCGCAGGTCTGTCACCAATTCCCCACACCCTGGCACTGTCATCCACCTCCCGCACCATAGAACATCCGTCGATGTGGAACTCTCCTTTCACCTATACCCCACCTGAATTGACCAAGATGGTGACCTGGAAACCTGATATGGGACCTTGGGAGAGGGGGCTGGGAACAGGTTGGAGATGGTTGGATGGTCGGAGTCTGACATCTCCCAAAACACCTGGACACCTGGTCCTAACCAAGACAGCTAGCCAGTGACCGTAAATAGGACCCGGAGAACCTGGGGTACCCAACTGGGATAGGCGAACAGTCGGGTCCTTCAACCTCTGTTGGAAAATGCTACTTCAACGCAGTCTCCTCCGCGTACGTACGTCGCCCGCCCCCAGGTCCATGTCGTTCGTCTATGTCGTCCATACGGTGGGACTCGGGCTCCAGTTACCACTTATAGTCTTTGGGTCTATCCGAGTCTACCAGGGCCCATTGGTTTTTTAATTTTTTAGGTTGTAGGCCTTGTTTACTGACTGTTACAGGTAATAGGACAAACCCCTAACTATAGTACTTTACATAAGGAACCTGGGTTTTGAGGTCGGCTTTAGTCTTTGGAACCCCTGGTGACCAGCTACAATGGGAACTGGATCCGCTGGATATAGAACAAAGAATTCTCCACACAATTCTTCACCCACAAAGTCGATTTCCCAAAACCACCTCAAAGGGGTCAAGCATGGGTCGAGGTCGGCTGAGAACAGGTCAAGCATGGCCCGTCGGCCTTGTTTTCCAGAACTCGACGTGGACGTGCCGGACGGATGACCGAGCTCGACGATGTGCGATGTTCTGGGAGTGTTCCGGGAAGACGATGGACATACCCTGGTCCGACGACGACGGGATCACTGGACTGATCGAAGGTGGCATATCTCTTGAATGCTTCAGACCGGGGTACGTAGAATCGATGCAGGCTTTTGGATCGGGGGTTGATCAAAGCAACTGAACACTGGCCAATGTCAAAGACTATGAAATGGTCTGACTGGATGACCCCAAGTTCGGACTCTCCTTTACTTGGTGCCACAAATCGTCTAACTGGGCTTCTAGGGACCGAAGCCTGGCCAAAGCTTGTCCTTGGGATGAGGCGTATCGGCGTCGCCGCCTGAGAGACCTGCGAACATCGCAGCCCTGAACCCGAGCAGGCTCAGCACCTGCTCAGCAGCACGCCTTTTCAATTGGAAGCATTGTTTCATGCATGCATTCTGGGTCTCAAATGGTCTGATTCTTGCAATTCCCAACTCCTGGCTTTCATCATTCTTGATTGACCTCACACACACAAACACACACACACACATATATGTTTCTGAAAGGGCCAAACAAGTGAAAGAAGGTTTGTGTCCCGGTTCCTGCACGGCCTCGAACAGTCTGACGGGTCCAGTTCTGACGGGTCGACGGGGTTCCCATCAGCACGACCAACTCACATGGAACATCAGGGTCGGAGCATATAGCTTTTCCCAATGTTGTTCCAACAAAAGGTGGGTCAGAGTCCGACTGTTCGGCTATCCCAGGCCAGGGTACCCCAGCTTTTCCGGGTCCGAGTCGGAACCGGCCACTGGCTACCTACCTACCTCTCTTGGTTCCTGGCCTCATCCAAAACCTCGGTACCACCTTTCGCCTCCGGAGCCCCACTCGCTGCACCGGAGAGACGAGAACGAGCGGTTGCGTGAGGGAGAAGTCTCCGTTGCTGCGCCGATCTATTCCAAAGAGACTCCAAAAGGTACCTAGAGGGGTTAAGCCTGAGCCATCCCCAAAAAGCACCCAGGGTCCCCAAAGTCCTTCCTAGTTCAAGTCTCTCAACATGTCTTGGAATCCCATGGAAGAAGAGGGATGGTCTGTACTTGGTGTTGATGGCCCGCATGGACCCGTGGACCCGCGGGTCCCAACAACCCATTTTCCGCCTCTTGGGTGGGGCTGCCGGTCTTGCGAAACGGTGCGAAACCAGTCCGGGTCACCTGGCTGGACTTGTCCCTACCTGTAAGTTTTCACAAAGCACCCAGACAGGAAGTGCTGGGTACAAGTACAGTACAAGTACAGTACAAGTACAACCCAGCACCACGGATTCCGGGTGTCCATTTTTTTCGCCCCGAAACGAGGTGATATAAGGGGTGTCCATTCACCACCCCTAGCTTTGGGGGTCCTGGACCATGTACAATACAAAGGTTCTTCGACCCAGAATCACCCACCCGAATCTCTAGGATCGTGGCTCTGAATCTCGAAAAAGTCGGCGGACAGTTCTGCCACCTTCCAATGTCAAGAGTCCCATCCAGCGAGTGCATGTGACAGGGGCACCCCAACTTCCTCCAAGTTGGGCAACTTCATGGAACTGCTGGTTCTGATACTTATCTGTACTTGTGACTACTTCTCACAAGAGCTGTAAACACGGACTTCGGACTTGGGAACGCGTCCTTGCACGCTGGCTCGCGCCTTCCCCGGTCCGCTTAGGACTTCCAAGGTTGGCGGCCAATCACCCGCTTCGTCCGCCGCTGGGCGCGGCGTCCTTCGCGCCTTGCGAAACATCTTCCGCGACCCCCTTCACGCGGCTCCCTTTACGCGCGCCACGCGCGGGCGTCGGTTCACGCACGCTGCGTCGGCGTTTTTGTTGAGCGAAGATTCGGGGGTAGGATTGGTGTGGCGCAACGGGTGAGCCGTGCATTTCGCCTGGTCGTTCAGGAAAATTCGGCGTAACGACCAGGCAGACATTCCCGTCGAGCAATCTTCAGTTGGCTTAGGGACGTTCCAGCAACCTAAAAAATGATGTTGGTCCCATGACACAAGAGCATGTCTATATAGCGTGCCTAGCCCACCATTAATTTCATAGAGCTGAATCCCGAACCACCGAGCTCTTTTTTCATAAGGAATTTACACTCAACATCACTAAGCCACCGGCACCTTCAAAGGGGGCGGTCACCTGGCTGGAAGCCACACTACTTGAAGGACCTCCAGACAGGACACCCCTTGAAGGTTCAGGCATCTAAACCACTTCTTTCCCATCCCTCCAGCAGAACACAAAGGCTTTGCCCCCCCATCCGCGCAGGGGCAGATCCGCCCGCTTCATCGAAGGAACACTCAGAGAGAGGTTGAACAAGGTGTACCACCTTCCAAACAGGTGAGTTTGATGTTGTTTGATGATTTGAGGTGGCAAACAGGGGCGCACCTCATCTTTTTGGTCCTTCAAGACGACTTCATGGGACCGGACGTGGACGAAAAAAATTTCGCCCCAGAAAGACCCCAGACCTCGAAGAATCAAGCACCTCAATGTAGAAATATCACACTGTGACATGCTTCTGGCCTTTTCATTCACCAAAACAGCCAAGTTGGGCAAACATTTGGCATAGACAGGTCAGATCCAGGTGTACTCCTACCCATGGAGTGTCTCATCTGCAACGCAGGGAATACCTGGCATTACTTTTTCCGTTGGTTCACCAGCTTGTCCCCTTGTCGGAAGCCTCTTGCCGGCTTCACCTGGTAGAACATCCTTGACTTGGATTTGCTGTTCAGGAACCGGACTCATGTCATAAGCATATTCCCCATGCCAGGGGATTCAGCACCCGGCTGAGGAAAATACACACCACTGGCAAAACCAGGTTGATGCTGGTGCTGCTGATGCTGCTGATCCGAGTCTTCCTACGTTGCCTTGACTCTTCAGGCGGCCACTCTGCTCATGTCGCCAACTGGAGGTGCTCAATTTGCAAAGCTGAACTGGATCATCGGTTCTGCGCAACGTGATGTAGACTATCAATAAAAAAGAACAACACAACCTGTATGAAGCGTTGTTGTTCATCCAAAGGGTGGTTTATTAATCAAAGAGTCTACATTGGAGGTCTCTGGCAAATATCACCATTCTCACTGATTGAAGGGGAACACACCTAGCGATTGATGGTCCATTTCGGGAGGTTTGGGTTGAACTCGTTGGGCGATGCAATCTTTCTTGGATCCAAAAGTAGCAATGCCGTCAGAATGTTTGATCCTAGATCCTGTGATCCTAAGCTCAGCATACTATGCTCCCATACTATGCTCAGCATACTATGCTCCCATACTATGCTCCCAGTCTGACATTTCTGGGTCGGATGCTCTTTCTTCACTCCAGGACTGGGGTCGAAAACTTGGAAAACTGCTGTCCAGGAAACCTGGAAAAAATATCCCAGAAGGGGATTTGCTCATAGTAGGGAATAAAACATCACCTATCATCACCTTACACCCAAAACACCCAAAAGGGGATTTACTCATAGTAGGGCCAGTAGGGAATACAACATCACCTATCATCACCTTACAAAAAAACCAGGAAATACATCTCCCATGTGGGTCATATACATAGGTCGTTGGACAAGTGTTGAAATCCCAAATACCCATAAACACCCAACACAACCGTCCAGGCGTCTTTTGCCTGATTCCATCACTGGTCGAGGACATCTCTGTGGGACTTCTATGGGAAAAAAGGTGATGGCCTTTTGCCACACATCTGAACCCTTGGGAATCAAAGACCGTTTGAAACATGCTCTGCAGGTGCCCCGGGTGTCCCGGGTGCCTCGGAAGGGCCCCCCCGTCCACTTGGGGGGTGTTACACATCGTCAACCTTGGAAGTCCAGGGTCGGAGTTCAAGGGACCAAGTCACGCCAACCGATCATCCTGCTGACCCACTCAGCACGGTGCTGGATTTGCCTTGGGAGGCGGTTGGCGCTTGGCGGCTCGGTGGAGGCCTGGTTTTTCTTCGACC